GGGGGTCTGGTGCGGATGTGGATGTGAAAAGTTGAGTCAGGAGTTTGTTGTTCGGTGGGTGTGCTGCTGTTGTTTTTGACAGAATATTTTGCAGGCCAACGCTGCAGCGGTGGAGCGGTGGAGCGATGGAGCTTAGAGATGCACTTGTCCCAAGGAATGCCGGCCTGCAGCGGAAGTTACCTGCGTAGGGAAGAGGCCCCCCGCTGAGAGCATTTTCCCAGGCAGCTACGGCAGTTATGCAATCACAAAGTTGCTGCTGCCTTCGTCAGTGATTGAAATTCCTTGGACCGCCATCTTCACGTGCTCCTCCCTCAGCAGCAGCAGCAGCAGCAGGAGGACCAGGCTCAGGCTCCAAACTTGGACCGGGCTAGTTTTCATTGTAGTAGTCATTATTATTATTGTTGCTGTTGTTATCTTCGAATGCAGCTATGCGTGTCCTTCTCATCTTTTCCTTGCAGGTCTTGCCTGGACAGCTTGCCGTCGCTCATCTCTGAATCATTGTCGGATGCCAGAAGCCCTATCCCTCTGGTTATTCTTCTCGTAATTATTGTAGTTGGGTATTTCATAAAATCGGTTGCAGCTGCCGCTGCCGCTGCCTCTGCTTTTGAATTCCCTTTCTCATTGGAGCTTGCCAATATATTTCTGCCTTCCAGCTTTGCAATTGAGGATTTTGATTAGTTTTTACTCTCTTGCGGAGGGGGGCTACTGATTGCGTACTTCCATTGTTGCACAGCTCAAAAAGAGCGGATGGAAAGAGAGTGGGTTGTCCAATTTTACATGCACTTTACTTCAAGCTTACCTGCGCTACATCCCACTCCTCTGCTGCACACTTTCGGGCGGACTTGTCGCTGGGAGAGCGGAAACAGCTTTAAAAGCTCTGCCAATCGAGCTTACTTTAAAGTCTGTTGTTGTGTGGCAACGAAAACTGCAAACATAGACTTTGACTGTACAGTCTTTGATCTTTGTCTGCTAATGTTTTTAAAGCTTTATTGTATTCTCTTTTCCTCACACATTGTTGTGGTTTCCACAAAATGTTTGCCATTGTCTGGGGCTGGGCTCCCCTTTTCCTCTCCAGAGATGGGCTTAGGAATCTCCTCTATGCTCCTTCGAATTCCCAATGCAGCAAAGTTATGATTGTTTGCCCTGTTAGCACGTGGCAGACTTCTTTTCTACACGGGCGTCTCTTTGTTGCGGCTGCCTGCTGCCTGCCGCCTGCCGCCGGCTTCCTGTGCCTGTCAGTGCTCGATGCTGCGGAATTGATTGAAAGGAATTCTAGGGTTTCCCTGCCTGTTTGCAGTTGTCGTCGCCCGTGACATGCACGGAATACGAGTCTCTGGCCCACGGAATGTCCGATCCAGACAAGTGGAAGTGGCAGAGAGCGCTACCCCGCAATCACCTCTCGCATCTTCAATTGATGTGCTCCATACGAGGAAGAGAGCAATTTGCCTGCCCCAAAAATTGTCGCCCATTAGTCGCGGGGCGGAATCAATGACAAACAGCCATGTGACAAGTGTGACTTTTGGATAGAGTATACATATCGTTTGACCCCTAGAAATATACTCAAATATTCATATGTACATATGTATGTATTAGGACAAAAAATGTTAAGAAATAAGCTGTGCCATGCCACTTACCACCCCCTCAAAGGTAGAAAATCTGGTAACAACCAAATAAAATAGTTTCATTGCAGCCACTGTAGGTAGTTTCATTGCAGCCACTGTTGGTAGTTTCATAACAGCTACCTTTTATTGTCATAGCAGCCATGTTTACAGCTGATAAATTGTTATTGTGACGGAAAGTTACTGGTGCATTCCGTCACAGAGTCAGGTTCATTTAGCAGCGATCTAACAGAGAAAGATCATAAGAGCATGAGCTAACAGAGGAAGAACAAATTCTCTATTATCGTTACAGAGGCATGTTAGTGTTAATGTTCAGCGAGCTAACAGCGAAAGAAAAAGAGATTATGTTGCAGAGAGAGGAATCGCAGCTCTCGTGACTGGGTGGGTTTAGTTTTCGCTCTCGCACTTACATATTAGTGAGGTAGGCAGAGATAAGAAAAGCAGAAACAAGGGCCGATCTGCGGGCCGATCTGCTGGCCGAGCTTACACTGCACAGCTGCACCCCACTCCCCACGCAGTTTAGTTAGCTTTGCTCGTTCGGTCTTGTTCTTCGAAGAAGCTTTGAGCCGTCGACACTGCGTTGTTTTTATCACAGTTCGCCGGTTCCCCCGGTCCCTCATTCAAAGTGAGCGTAAAAGCGGACAATTAAATCGTGTGTCTACAGGTGCATATTGAGAAAGAAAAAAACTAATATTATAAACGGCGGCACACAGTAGAAGCCGGCAAGCAGTGCAGGGCGTGCGTGATAATAGATTTTGTGTGCTTTGTGTTTATCTGTGAAAACAACAAACTACCCTAACGCAACAAAAGGAAACAGCAGGTAATATGCACCTATCCACTGTTTAATTCTTTCTGTTTTGCTTGACTCTGTATTTTGTAATTTTCGTTCTATTTTGATTTCCTTTTACATTTGTGTGGTATTATTATTTTCTCAAATATTTTCTCGTACGAATATTTGAGGTATTTTTCAAGTTTAATATTGCCAATCGAACCGGTCTTTTATAAAGGTTGTTCGCTGCAAGGAGAACATTTCTTAGTAGTTGGTGGTGAATTTTGTAGAGTATCCCTGTTTCGTTTCTCTTTTAATTTATTCATCACTGTGGAAGTTTTTTCCATTTTTTTTTTTTGGTCGGAGAGTAAACTATTTTGCCACCGTTTTGCTGCTTTGCCTTGCTCCCCCTCTATCTCTCTCTCTCTCTCTCTCTCTCCCTCCGTGCAATATCGTTGTATGCTTTTGACATTTTTGCGTTCATTTTTGTGTGACAAGTTTTCTGTGGTTCACTGGGGCCACTTTGCGGCATGTCAGCCTCATCCACCGCCCGTTCCCCATTCCCCTCGCCACTCTCCACCTTCTTCCACCCTGGCCAAGGGGTGACGGCCTATTTCACACTTTTATAGAAAATTTTTTTGCCAATTGTCTGGCGACGCTCCGACGTACTCGTGGTTAGCTGTTTTTCCTCCCCTCCCTCTCCGTCACCCTTGGGTCGGAAGTTTGCGCAATTTCCAAAGCGGAAATGCAATTTTCGGTTCAGCTGCATTTGTCTCGCAATGCCACGCCCCCGCACCCGAACCGTGAATCGGCCCTGCCGCCCGCCCGCCAACTTGGGCTGCCTGCCAACACATCGTATATCAAATGCAGAGTTGGCAGCCCCTGACAATGACATGCAGCGAGCAGCAGCCAAACCAGAAAAGGCCGACAGCCTCGTGGGTTCGTGGGATGGTTCTGGAAGAGCCACTGGATGAGGCCGCCAACAGGAGGGGGGGGAAAAAAGCAAGCCCGAAATCGTCGACATCGCCAATAGCTCTCAGCAATCGTTTGTTGTCCTTGTTCTTGTTCTTGTAGCCGCCGGAATATCGTCGGACCCGTGGCAGTGTGTGTTACGCCTTTTGTGGCCAGATCAGGGAATTTATTTCACACGCTTTTTATGCACAGCCAACTGTGGGACACTGAACACTCTTGGCCACAACTTCTGTGGCTCTTTGTGCCGTGCCGTGCCGTGCCGAGTCCCGAATGCCGAAAAGTACTCTTATTTATTTGCATATAAATTATTCAATTGTTCCTTTGCTTATCTTTCCCGTTGGCTGCCTCTGACCGACCCGCTCCCTGCCCCCTTGGGGAGTCTATCAAAATGCTGGATGAATTTGCAGCTGCAATTGCAATTTCAATTGATTTTTGGTTGTCTGTGGGCGTGGCACTGTTCAATCTATGATTTATGCCCTGGAATTTGGCAAAAGCCGAATAAAATTTGCTGACACGGCGTGGGAGCTGCAGTCGAACTTAAAGAGTGTTCGAAACGCATAAGTTTTCCCAGTGATTTATGGACTCGTACATTTTGAACAAGTACAGTCCGTTGAAATGCTTATTTATACACAATTATCCCATAAATATTGGTCGTTGGGACTAACCCAAACCCGAATAGCATCCTGCTGGAGTGGCCATCTTTCTTTCGTATACCCTTTGCAGGATGCCATGCACTCTTCTGGCACCTCACATGCCGTCAGTTCCGCGCCAGAGTTTCCGTTTCCGCTCAACACGTGCGCTAAACGGTTTGTCTGCCCCCCTCCACCCCCCTGCCCGCTCCATCAATGGCAAATGTCAAATGTCAACTGCAGCATCCGTTGTTGTCCCTGCTGCTGCCGTGACGTGCCGCTGCGCAAACATTTGCCAAGGCCCCAGCCTTTTCCTTTCTTACTTTCCCTCCAGGAGGCATGCCCCTCAATACTCCTCGGCTTGTCACCGAAAAATATCTTCTAATATCTGCTCTGCCGCTGCTACATGTGTTGTAAATTTATTAGCTGTCATATAAATCTTTGCACTCGGCCGCCTTTCTTTCAGGACGTGTTTGCCATTTCACCAGCTAGTAATGGGCGTGGCAGGGCCGCCTGTTTGCGTGCAGATAAGGGATCGGTATACATATGTATGGAGCACCCTTTCGCTTGGGCCAGTGGGGGATTTTTCATTTACATAAAAGCTACTTAAGGAAATTCGTAATTTTTCTTAGGACTCTTCTCCACGGCTCACTCACAACTGGTACAGTCGCTCCCTCTCGCTATGTTTGAGTGCCAGGGTTGTCGCTGTCATTTGTTTAATTAATATTGCACCTCGGGGTAGGAGTAAGCGCAGACACATGTGTTCTTAAGGGGTCTTTGGGGTTTGTCAGCAATTTTCACCAAACATACCGAATAGAAATTGCCGAGAAGGGGGGTTTCCCTCCTCAAAGGAAGAATAAAATGTATATATACTTTATTAAGTGCGTTATTTTAAATACGTGATATAAATACATATATAATAACTACTATTACTATAGCTCTATATGTTTTGGCACACTTTTTCCGCATTTCTGCTCCTCCTGCACCTCCTACACCTCCCGCACCACCGCCTCACCGCGTCTCTGCCTCTGGCTCCTGCTTGAGGGGATTCCCCTTGTCGTCGATCTCCATGGACGGCACCAGCGGGGGCTTGAACCCGTACTCCATGTGCAGATTGCGTCCGAAGTCGGGGCTGCGCTTCAGCGAGTGGCCATTCCGCCAGCGCTGGAACTCGTCGAACTCGATACCCGTCGACGGTTCGGAGCCCGCATTCGTCGATCCTGGAACGGGTCCAATGTATGACTTGACCATTTGGGCGGGCGCCGAGGCGGCGGCAGTGGCCAGATCTGCCGGCAGCGTGTTGTAGATGTAGCGGGCGCCCTGCAGCCAGGGCGAGCCCTGCGGCGGCGGCGGGGGACGCAGATCGTAGCGCATGTCCGCCAGGCTGAAGGTCGCCACCGGAGGAGCCTCGCCTCGCACTGGGTTCACCGGAGGCTTCACGAGAGACTTTACGGGGGACTTGGACTGCGTGGCCTTGGACTGGGATTGGGACTGAGACTGGGTCTGGGTAATCTGGGGCAGGAGTTTCTTCAGCATGCGGTTGTAGTAGTTCTGCAGCACTTTGGGCGGAATGTGGGCCGCCACCGAGTGCGACCAGGGGTGCAGGGCGTTGGGGTGGTGGTGGCCAAACGAGTGCGGGGAGAGGGACGGCGGCATGGGCATGTGGATGGCGACGGGCACGTGGATGGGTATGGCCATGGGGCGATCCACAAACTTCTCCACGATCTTCTCCACCTCGACGGGGCGTTCCACAATCCGCTCCACCTCCACCGGCACGTGCTTCTCCACAATCTTCTCCACCACGGTCTCCACGGGGTAGGGGACGGGATGCTCGACAATGGTCGGCACAGGGTAGGGCCGATCCACGTAGTGCTCGACGTGGACAGGCACTGGCACCGGCTGGTGCACGGCGTACGGCACGGGAATGTGTTTCTCCACGAACTGCTTGACGGGACGATCGACATGCTTCTCCACCAGATAGGGCTGGGGCACGACCTTCTCCACAACAGCCACATGGCGGGGAGGGTGCTCGTGATAGTGCTGCGGAGGGTGAAACTCGGGCACGGAGTGGGATGGCGGGTGATTGGCCTCAAACTGATGGCCAGGCGCTGAATGGTGACCCGTCTCCTGATTGATTTCGGCGTGGGAGATGGCCACCTCTTGCGGCGAACTCTCGTGCTCCGCCTGCTCCACGTTGATGGGGTTGGTGGTCAGCGAGGGGTAGCCTTTCCCTGGAGCCGTGGCTGGGGCTGGGAAGGGCGACAGGTGGTTCTGATTCTGCTCATAGGGCTGGTGGTAGATGGTCTCGTGCTGCTCCACGAGGCGCCCGTCCTTCTCCGTGATCAGCTTGTTGTGGATGTTCACGGACTTCTGCACCTCCACGAAGGTGTAGCCGTTCGGCTTGCTCTCGACTGGGGCCTGCTGGTCGGGCTTGGGGTGAGGGGGGGCGACGTGCCGGACGTGCTGCTGGGAAGGCTCGGCCGCCGCCTCGTACTCGTGTGGGGCCGGGTGATGGACAGTGATCTCAACGGCTGCATCCTGCGACGCACTCGCCTGAGCAGGAGCTGGCGACGATGCGGCTTGTGGGGGGACTGGTGGTGGGGGAGTGTTGAGGGTCACAAAGACCAGACTATTGGGCGTTGGCCCACCGTAAGCCGAGTAGTGCTGCAGCTCTGGGGGCGGCTGGGACTGGGGAGGAGCAGCTGCCGAGGGTATCGCCTGTGTGTGCAGCTCCTGCTGATAGTGTTGCTGTTGCGGTGGCTCTGGGAACTGCGGAGACTCCGGGAGCTGTGGGATACCATGACTGTATTCCTGTTGATAGGACAACTGGCCAGCAGGTCGCACAAAGTGGGCGGCGTAGTCCGCCTCCTGCTGTGGCCGAGGGCTCGGCAACTGCGGAGGACTTCCGGCCTCGTAGTGGAATGTTCCCTTGGCTATCGGGCCATCGCCGCTGCCCGATATGATCGGATTGAAGCTCTTGAGGAACTGTCGAGAGGGCGCCTCCTGGGTGGGATCTGGGAATCTCTGGTAATGGTCCAGGGATTGCTGGGCCTGCGGCTTTTCCCCCCCTTCTTGTGCCTTGGCCAGAGTGTCGTCGTGGACGATGTGCACGTTGATCTCCTGCTCCTGGCCGGGTCCCTTTCGATTCGTGTAGCTCTCGATGCCGTTGTGGGAGGCCGGCGGGGGCAGCCGCTGCTGGTAAACGCCTCTTGCCGCATGACGGGTCTCTGCTATCTGGTTGTCCTCGAAGTCCTGGCCCTCGTCCAGCTCCGTTTCGTGCTCGCCAAGGATGACGATGGGCGCGCTCTCGGCCGCCACCAGCGTCTCATTGTCGTCGCTCTCCGGGAGGAGCAGGAGGCTGGGCAGCACGGGGGCCGCCACCGCTGCCCGGTTGATGCGGAGCAGCTCGTCCCGCGAGATGTGGTTGCTGCCATCCCGGAAGGGGTGCTCCCCCCCTGACGGCTCGCTTCTGGTGATCTTCTCCACGACGATCTCGGTGTGGCCCGGACGCAGCTCCCGGCGGTACTCCTTGGTGACTGTCGTTTGGTAGCTGAAGTACGTTTGGTTCCTCTCCTCTGGAATGGCGGTGACGGGGACTGTTACGGGCTCTGTGGCTGTGGCTGCGGCCTCAGTGCTTGGGCTTGTGGCCTCTGTGGTTGCGGCTGCGGCGTCAACGGTGGGCCGCACCACTGCCTTGTTGGTGGTGGTGGCTGTGGTGGTCGCTGGCTCTGTGTTTGTGCTCGTGTCCCTGCCGCTGAAGCGGAAGATGTCCGAGAAGCCGTTGGGGAACAGATTGGACAGGACCTCGTTGACAGTCTCCGTCCTGGACTGGGTCACGGTCTGCTCGATGGGTCTCCGGCGACGGACAGCCTCCACTGGCATCTCGTCGTTGATCTCGAACTGGATGTAGCCATGCCCATTCGTGGGCGGTGGCAGGACGGTGGGCAGGAAGCCAGGCACTCTGTGCGGAGTAGAGAAAGGGAAAGGGAATCACGACGCTCCCCCAAGACCTGTCCACCACCCCTGACTTACCCCACGAACTCCTCCTGCTTTTCAGGCGGCGTAGTGGTTGCCGCCGAGTCTGTGTCCTCCTCTATGTCCACCTCACTGCCGTAGTTCAAATCCTCGATGACCTCCAGGCCGCTGCCCGTCCCGGCTGCCTGCTTATTAAGCTGTCAAAAGCGACGCTCATTGCCTGTCAAAATCTTTCACTAAGCTCGGACGGACTTACCTCCTTGGCGCTGTCACTCAGGGCCTCGTCATCGTTCTCCAGTCGCACCACCCGCACCGCTCCCTCCGTCGCCGTTGCCACATTCTGCGGGGGCTGCGTGGGAGGCTGGAGCGGCTGTGGCAGGTCGCCGGTGGAGCTAGTCGGCTGGATGCTGGCCAGCACGGAGCAAATGCCAATGAGAGTCGCTGCTAGCAGGGGTTTCTGTTGTTGCTTCTGCCACATGGCGCTGCTGCTGAAAGGAAGTTGCGGAAATGGAAAGAGTTGAGTGGGGGGAGGGGGTCTCCCGTGGTCTGGCATGGTCTGGCAGTGTGAATAACCCCGCCTGACAAATTCCAAGCGACAAATAAAAAGCCAAGCGAAACATTTGACGGCCCCGAGGATGCCGAAGTCGTCAAGCCTGTTTGGGACCCACTGCAGGCCCCCCCCCCAGCCACCCAGCCTCCTCCAAAAGGCACTCGAGCCCCCTTGCCGCCTGCTGGCCAGCACTCACTTGTCGGGGCTGTTTGATTTCAACCGATAACCGAGTCTTATGATGATTTTTCCTAAGTGCCTGCTTCGCCTGCCTTGGCATTTTCATTTCGGCGCTTTTCTTTCTCTTTCGCTGTGAGATTTTCTCTAAGCGTCGCTCGTCTGGTGGTCGCTGGTGGTCCGTCGGTCGCAGTCAAGTTGTTGAACTTGGCGGCATTTGCTTTGGGCTTATGTCATTGCTACTGCCATTGGCCATGGCCATGGCACTGGCTCTAGCGTTGGCTCTGGCAACGTAATGAATTATTAATCATCCCCTCCAGGCAGGCCTGCGCTTCGCCACGCATTTAATTTGGAAAATTGAAATTGATGGCGTTTAAAATGGTTCGTACGGGTTTTCACATAGTTTTCATATACAGGCCGCTGCCAGGTCTCTGCCTCTGCCGTTGCCGTATTTTGATGGGCATTAAATATGCATGCCAAAACATATTTCACTTGTAATATTCATGGCTTTCCAGGCCTAAGTGCCCCGAGCTGCTTCGTTCCCTGACCCCCCCTCCAGCGGGGGGTAGGCGGCTTTGCATGGCAATTTCTAGTTTAATTGGGGACGGATCATTATCTTAGCTCGGGCATTACATGCGGCCCGTTTTGGAGGTCCCAAAATATATATGGAAAGTCCTTTCGTTCACAAACAAAATACTCGAAATGTTCAATTGCTGTCAATCATCCGATTACGCGTATCGCACTCCGGCGCGTGTCATTTCTGCCGCGATATTAATTTTCCGCCATGGCACCGTTTAAATGGCATTTAAAATGTTTTCTTCTATTCGAATACACATTTACCTGCATCCATGAAGTGCGGTGGGGGGGCGATGGGAGCGATGGGAGTTCGGGAGTGCAACACTCAATTATTTATATTGATTGCCGGCCAATTAAAAAGCACTTTTAATCACTTTTCTATTCGATTAAAACTATTGTAATTAGTGTGGCAAATGGAATTGGTTTTTGCTATGGGCATCGAGTGGCACAAAAGTTTGGGGGAATCGCGTTTGCGGTCTGCTGCGATCTCTCGATGGCTGATGCCTGATGGCTGACTGCTGACTGCGCGACCCTGACAGCTGCGCGTGCGCGTTGCGAATGAAAGTGAAACCGTCGGTGCCTGGGCATTTCGTTTTCTTTTCGTCGATGCCTCGTCGTGGGTTGTTGCATGTTGCTTGTTGGTTGTTGCCTCTGCTGCTGCGGCTGCTGCTGATCCTTAAAGTGTAGCATAAAACTTGTTCAGCCAGCGATTGCGCAAGCGCAGCCATCTCTCTCTCTCTCTCTCTCTCTCTCTCTCACTCTCTGGCTCTGGCTCTTTCGCTCCCTCGCTATCCCCTTAAAGGCAATGACAATTTGGTTTTTATGGCTTTCTACAGCAACAACAACAACAACAACAACAGCATTGACCCTGCCAAAAACCATGAGCGGGAAAACTCGACAACAGGTTTTTGGCCAGGCCAATTGTGTGGAAATGAGCCTGGGGCACGGGACCTTTCGGCACTTAGCATTCCGCGCCTCTCGCCGGAGAAAGCCCTTGGCTGTGGACTCCTCTCGCCCAGTTGACACAAATTTCCATAGCCGTTGCCACAGCCGTTTCCTTGCCGCACGGCGATTATCGCATTGGCACCGCACCTGTCGATTGTGTGGCGTCGGTTCGATCACCTTCGATCGCATTGTTTTCACGGCTTTTCATTCAACTTTAATGATGCTTTTCGATGGCACTCGACGGCTTTTTCTGCGGAGCGTTTGACGCTTACTGATTGATTAATGTGGATGCGGTTTGTGGCAAGCAAAACGATTCAGCTGCTATCGATTTTTTTTCTTTTTTTCTTTCGCTTCTTTCTGATTTATTAAAATGCAATTTTTTATTTTTACCATTTTATTTATTGCATATTTAATGCCCTCGTATCGACGGTTTTTTCTCTGTTGTTGGAGTTGTTGATAGAGGAGGCCGCAGTGGGCCTTAATCGATGGAATTTAGAATAGCAAAAGAGGCTTAAAATATGGACCAAAATAATTACATAAAATTTCACTCAAATGAGGGAAAGCTGGCGTTCTATCCGAGCAGAGCCATGGAAATGCGCAGATCACTTACTTGCCTTATCTGCGTGCATCTCATTACAGACATGTGGCATGCCCCATGCTTTCACCACTCGTTTGGTGCTGTTGCTGGAGCTGGAGCTGGAGCTCTGAATCTTTTTGGATGGCCTTTCCACTGACGCTTTCCGCAGAGACAATTACGGAGTGCCAGCGATTGCATAAGCGAGGCGTGGACGGGGGGGGGCCAAGACGAGCCAAATGAAAATCCCAAGGCGACACACAAGGAAATGCGATTCATAAACTGGGGCTGGACTCCCCTGGACATCCCCCTCCCGATGCTGTGTAATTTTCACTGCAAAAGTGTAACAAAAGCCGACATTTAGTTGGCCGCCCGGTCGCAATTGGCCAGCAATTGACTTCCTTCCGACCGCATTACAAAATCGTCGAAAACTTGGCAAAGGAAATCGCTGAGATGCCTTGACCACCGCAGCAGCCAAAACACTGAAAATTGGAATTGGTGGGAAAAAAAGAAACCCCAGAAACTGCGGAAAAATCTATGAAAAGCAATTCGCTTAATTTCGATGCGGGCATTCCGCATATTCGCTGTATTGTGCTGCCCCGACGGTGCGTTCAGGCGGAAAGCGGGTCTTGTTTGGGGCCTGGGGGAACGGCGGGACTGTTGGGGATCCACTGCTAATTAAGTGCGCAGAGCAAATGAAATATGAGTGGGAAAGGTAATTACAATCAATGGGCAATGGGCAATGGGCTCTGCCCTGGCCCCGGCCACGGCCCTCCATCGGTGTGGCGGCAGGGCCACAGACCGAATGGCAATTTCATGCAACAATCAATCAAAAACAATTTTTAATTTTGCGTTAACAATTTTCCTGATTCGCGTTTTTTTTTGTTTTCTGCCACGTATCCTGCCTTCAGAGCGGCTCGACTGTGGAAGTAAATTGGAAAATAAAGTTAAAATTAAAATGCATTAATTGAACTGTGAAATTTCATAAAGACGGGGCATGGGGGGCCGCGCCCAGTGATGTGCAATGAAAATGGTTTTAATTGTCAGCGTTTTCTGCGCCTTTAAAGAACGGCCCGCACATGCAGGCAGCAGGCGACTTACAATAAGCCAACGCGTTAACTGATTGATTGTGGCCATCTGCGACAGAACAAGGAGCTATTCATTAAGTGCTTTTTATGTTTCACGGAAAAAAACTATGCCACAGACATCATTCAAGACTCCAGGGGCACTATTATTCCAGGGAAATCCCTCTAATTGCAGCAATCTCCCTGCATCGCGATCGGCTACCACAACAGGAGGCACGCCCACTTTCCGACTGCAATTTGTGGCCTGGCGCTGGGGCTGGGGCCGACTTTGATTCCTCAACGTCGGCAATGGCGCCTATCATAAGCGAAGTGAAATATGTGGTCTGGAGGCTCGGGGTGGAGTCTCCGATTGGCAGTGGACTGGTTGTTGCCGTTGAGGCAACAATTAAAGCTGAAATGCGCACAGTAATGCCAATTGGCAATCGCGGATATCTGCCGGTCCCGCTTTCGGACTCCGATCAGGGGAGGGGAGGGGGGGCTCGTCGGGGGGCGTCCATTAGCCGGGGCACCTTTCGTTTTGGCGCGTGCGTCGACATTGGCCAGGGACATTACGAGTTTATTCCACTCGATCGCCGTTCGGGAATTTTGATTGATAAAATACACTGGCCGAACGGAGGGGGGGGGGGGGGGGGGGATCGTGTGAGCCGCACTGTACGGTACGCCCCCGCGCTCTGCATTTCGCTGTCATTAGCGCCCCGCAAAATCGCGAAACCGGCCTGGTTATCGATGATTGTGGCCTGGCGTTGCCCGTGATGTTGTCAAACGCCAAAACAGGTTGCCTGGCTGCCATTTCGTGCCAGTCGAGAGCGACTCTTTAGGCCAAAATCTGTAGCAGCCAGGTCCAGGTCCAGGTCCAGCTCCAGGTCCATACTGGCCGTGTCGCTCCTCCGGTGTCGATGTACTTTTGATTTCCAACTAATAAACATTAACCACAGACTGCTGCTGCTGCTGCTGCTGTTGACAACGCAACTCTCAGATTGGGCCAACGTACGAGAGACAAACCGGAATTTCCTTCACCCAAAACGAGCCGAGCCTGCGGTCACCCATAGCTTCACTCATTCACTCGACTGGCTGGCTGGCCTTTCCCTTTCGTTGGCCTTTGGTTGGATGCTGTCTGGAGGTGCTGTCTGCAGTGGCAGTGGCCCCAACCGCAGCACTGCATGCACTTGCCAGCTTCCAAAGCACTTTGTTTATCATAGGTCAGAGTGTTGTTTGCCAGTTCCAAATGTTTTGAATTGGGCACTGAAGGGACTTCCAGGTGGACTGCATGTGTTTGCAGAGGGGGGATCGAGACATTGCTATCCGGCAGCGAATGGGAATATGTATGTATCCAAATGAAGACGTCAGGCTGTTCTTCATTTATTTTCGTATGAAAGTATAACAGTTACGATTCTAGCTTGTCAGCTTAGAAAACGGTGGATTGTGAGAGCGCACCGAATCGAGAGAGCGATGCTACTGTCTGTTAACAGAGCGCTGTACACAGCAGCGATAACAGGCTGTTAGCCTGAGGTGCTAACAGCGCAGTTGCCCTGTTACCGCTGTTACCCTGCTGTTATCGGTCCAACGTCTTTAGG